TCTTTTCTTATGAGGGTCTTTTTATTTGGCTAGGGATGTATGGGGATTAGAGAGAGTGAGCCAGGGGGAATTCATCCTCTAACCATGTAACACCCTTGCCAGGAAAGTCAAACGAGGCCAGAGGTGTCCCACAGGAGGCCCCACGGCTGTCCCCAGGGAGGTCTTGGGGGCACAGGGCTAGCAGAGGTGTGCTTGCAGCATCTGGGACCACATGTAGCCAGCTGGGCGCCTGTGCACTGTGGAGGTGGGTCTCATAACCTCCTCTGAGCTAAGGCACATATTTATACAGCCCTACCAGAAAAGGCAGGGTGGAACACGCTCATATATACACATTAAAGAGACTGAATAAATAAACAGTAGGTTTTGATTTATTTTCTCTGCTACTTGGATATCTTAGTTTTGGCACAAGATAGATTTCATACACAAACGTGATCTCCAGATAGGTTCTTGTCCTGGTTGATTTAGAAATCATGTGCAAAGGAGAAAAAGTGTGCAAATGTTCATAAAACAAAATGATATGTACACTGTTTATCACTGAAGCATGTAAAACCCTTGGGCCCTGTCAGCTAGGTAATATACAACAGGTAACAAAGCCAGTCTGCCTTGAAAGATTTACAGTTTAAGATGAGAGATAACAGTGGATACAGTCAGTCTGGGAAAGCACGTAAAATGTGATTAGTCAGCTGGAGACTCACTAAATGCCATACACCTAATAAGTGTTGTTCAGCACATCTGTGCCTTGCCTGGGTGAGTGCAGGGTTTGGTGGGGCAAAGCCAGACACAGAAAACAGTGTACGCCCTGGACATTGCACAAAAGGTGGTGGGAGAGAGCCACGGAGAAACGTCATGTGTGAAAAATGTTCTATTTGCAGAAAGCTGTAAAGGAGCTGGTAAGTTTTATTGTGGAATCTGTACCCCGTCCAGGTTCTGGTGGAATATATGTAACTATGAAATCAAAATAGTCATGGGAAGCCCATTAAGAAAGGCTGCAAGAATTACTACTCCTGTCCTCAAGCCCCAAGCTGTGTGCCTGCCCCCACTTTACTGAGCAAAGTCTCCAGGAATTACACTGACTGTGAATGGCTGTAACATTCCCAGAAGTGGTGACAGTGATGGACTGTGTGTTCTGGCTCTGTCATCCAGTCTCACTAAGGTGAACTGAACAGAGAAAAACTGTTGTTTTTCTTTGGTTTTTGTTGTTGTTTTCTTTTTTTTTCCTATCAGTTTGAACACCTGATGCTTTAAAAGCACTAAACAGCATGATTTCTAGGTGTATACCTAGAAATAACTTGTGATGCCCTGTGACCTGTCCCTTCCTTAGAGAAACTGGAGCCAGCAATGCTGCAGGAGAGCAGAGGTTGCCAGACACTTCCAGCAGTACAAACCAGAGTGATGCCAAGAGAGCTGGAAAGCAGCTGAGAAACAGCTTAAGGAGATGGGTGGAGGGAACGTGCCAACCACAAAATTAATCTCTGAATTAATAAAAGCCTGCATGGTTTGAGGTTTGTGAAGCAATAAACGAGTTCAAATTTGCCAGTGACTGAAAAAGAAAAGCAATTAGGTGTTAAGGGAAACCTTCTAATGGGGATAAAGATAATACATTAGAGGATGCAATTTGTTGAAAAATGTGATGAGAAATTAATCTTTAATTGAAAATGACTAAAGGAATTTTGATGAAGAACATAGAAATGCATGTATCAAAGCAAATTTTTTTACTCTTTTTACTAATAGGGAATGGCAGAATAAGAGCTTCTGTTTAATAGCACTAATAACTTCATAATACTTTTCCTTTGAGTCATATGGTAGGCTCTTTTAACAAGTCAATACTTAGTCCAAAAAAAATCTCCTTGGCTTCCATAATCATATTTCGAGGTCTGTATGGGTGTCTGCTACTTCTGCTTATGCGTTTTGCCTCTGTTTTTCCATCAATATCTGGGTGGAGAGGTACCCACTTCCATCTCCCTGCCTTCGTATGACTTTAATGGGGACACTGCTGCTAAGCTTGCAAGGCTGAAAGCAGTTATGAGCAAAAGTGAGCCTGAGGAAATACTTCAGTGTGACCCGAATGGAAATTGCGGGAGTTCTTCACCAATGTGTTATCAGATGACTCAAACACAATTTCAATGTCACCAAAAGAGGCTTTAGTGGTTTTAAAATGAAATAAAACATCCTGCTCAAAAGAGGAGGTATAGGCAACAATAATGGCAAATATAGGTAGAAATTTGGCAAGCTGATAGCAATCAACAGTTTGCAAATAGGGGTAATGAATTAGGGAAATTCAGTGAAAATATATATGGCCAATACTATTGATCACCACCCAGTGGCATTTCCTTGAGGTACAAAGAAAATCCTAGCAGTGTTTTAGGTTGGATGTTAGACAAAGACAATGACAATCCAGTGAAAAGCTGAAATGATTCAGTAATTTTTTCTGTTCTTCATTTGGAAAATGGACAGAATAATGTCTCCAATTAAATAAGTATTTTTGTCTTCCATGTGTAACCAGAGTGAATGAAAAACACTGGTTAATACCTGTCTTTAAAACTTGCATGCAAAAGTATTTTAAAAACTGTGACAAGATCACCAAACCCTTAGTACTGATTTTGTAGCAAACACTGTGCCACTGAATTTCCAGGAAATGAGGGGAAGTAACTGTTGAGTCATTATATAAAACCCAGTAACTGGTATGTCCCAGGTAAGCAGAAATCCAAAGCTTGGCTAGGCTGACACCAGCCTTTGGCAAAGGTGGTAAGGAGGACGACGAAGCATGCAGTCAACTCAGAATGAAACTGCGACAGTACTAGAGTTAACGCAGGTAAATAGCAATAGAACAAGAGGGAATGGCTTTAAACTGCAACAGGGGAGGTTTAGACTGGACATTATGAAAGAATTTTTCATAGAAAGAGTGGTCAGACAGTGGAAGAGGCTGCCCAGGGAGGTGTTGGAGTCACCATCCCTGGATGTGTTTAAGGGTCGTTTGGATGAGATGTTGGGGGATATGGTGTAGGGGAGAACTTTGTAGAGTAGGGCTGATGGTTAGACTCGATGATCCCAAGGGTCTTTTCCAACCTGAATGATTCTGTGATTTTGTGATTAACAGAAAATACATGTTTTTAATTTTTTTTTTTTTTTTTGAGCAGAGGAAATTGACCATTCTGATTTGAGTCAGAGCAGCTTGGTATTATGGCTGATCTGTGGGTGACTGCCAAAAGGGGCAGTTTTGTTTCTCCTTTTCTTTTCCTCTTGTTCCCTTAAATAGTGGTCACATGCCTGCCTAGTGAATCAGTTCAACTCACTGGGCCAACAGAAAACTATGCCTTTTCTTTTCTTTGTATTATTGGCAGAGTTTCCTGCTGGATCCCCATGCTGGGCTGACTCACATTGGAGCTGTGGGGTCACTGGAGCTTGTGCGGGAAGCCGAGAGCGCTGCTGGGCAATGGGATGCTCTGCCAGATGGATATAGCTCCTGTTGGGCCCCTGCATGCAATGAGATGTAACAGTCAACAGCTCCCATAATTTGCAGTAGAGGAAAAAAACTATTGGGAAAAAAATAGTACTATGTGAAAATAAATACAGATACTATTGTGGTTTACAGATGCCCTAAATGATCTACAGCACTCTTCAAAATCTTTAATGGATGCATCTGAAAACTCATCCCATCATCCACCCGAGGGTATGTTTAGTGAAGCCACACAGGTAGGTGTCCCTTGATTATCTTTATATGTTACCTGGAAGTAGTAAAAATAATTTCTGATATAGTGTCTGGAGAGATGCATAAGTCAGTGTATCAGTAATGGAGCGGGCTGTCAGGCACGCTGCCCTCGCTGGCTCTCTTGGCTGGGCGTTTCTGAGCAATGCAAATTTTATAAAATTAAACGATGGCTTCTAGGCGTTGAGAGCAGAGCACACCCAAGTCCCAGCTGAACACACCATGGAGAGCAGTGCCACGGGAAGGAGCTGCTGCTGAGGAAAGTAATAAGTACGTGAGCAGTAGGCACGTTCCTTGGACACCGTTACATTTCCAGATGAGTGTATTGTTTAGTGGATGGCAAAGGCAGCTGACAGAAGCAGAGACAAGTTATTAAAAGCAGGTATATATTGGACAGCGGGGTGTGGAAAGACCCTCCGGCACTCCTGTTGGTCTGAGGGCAAGAGGAGCTGAACGACAAACCCATTGGCCTTTCTAAACATGGGGACAGGGGTGGGCCCCACACCTGACTGGGGTCTGCCAGGGGGCCCCTCGGCAGGTGGAGCCTCAGCCACGGCGCAGAGGGGTCGCTCACCTCTGGCAAGGGGTTTCTGTGAGCCGTTCCCACCCTCTCACCGCTGTGTAACACAGGTAGAGGTCACACAGTTCCACAGCGGCCTGCTCCTCTGGGCGCCGTGGTACCCGCCGTGGTGTGCGCGCTGGCCCTGACGGAGCAGCTCCCCGAGGGGGCTCGAAAGGCCTGGGCCCGCCTGCGGTGCCGCTCCCATCCCACCGCAGCGGGGGACTGGGGATAACCCTGGGGGTAACTTGAGGAGTCGGCCCCGACTCTATGGGAGGTCTCCCCCGCAGCCTTCGGGGGCAACGTCCATCCCCGGGTGCCTGCGGGACACCCCCCGCAGCCCGAG